CTCGTGTTACATGTAAGAAGAAGAATCTTCGAGCATGTAGTTTTTTTTTGGAGACTCAAAATTTAAAAGGGAAAACAAACAAAAAATCATTCATCTCTTTACTCTCTCAAGGTCGTTCTTTTCCATTTGTCTTTTTTTGCAGAACCCTAATTTCACGTTTTATGATTCTCCTTTCGTTGATTTCCAAATCTCTTTAGGGTTTCTAAAGGTTTAGCCTTTTAACCTCAAAATCCATAACCCTAAATGGGTGCCGTAGCAATCAATCGCAAACGAAGCCAAGAATCCTTCAATCTCAATCATCATCAATCTCCTTATATACAAGCTTCGAAGAAACCCAGATTCTCCTTAGCTATGTCTGAAGATTCCGCTAAGCCCAATTCGTCTATAAATCCCACAATCTCGAGGATTTCAAGGTACCCTGATGCTAAAGCTCCTCTCAAACGACAAGTTCATGCTCCTACCAGAGGATTACTTAGATTCGGATCATTGGCTCCAGAACGGAAGACAAAACCTAATGAAAAGAGCGATCCTTTCGTTCGGAATTATGGGTTTACATTGGGAACAGCTTTAGATACTTTGAGATTTGTTAGAAAGGAGAAAGATTTTGTTGATTTGGGAGATGGGCCTGAAAAAGAAGAAATTTCTGATGATTCAAGTGTTGAAGTTGTTGAATGTGATGAGGAGAAATTGGTGGAGGAGGAGGAGAAGAAGAATCTTCAGCCTTGTTCTTCTTCTGGTGTTACTGATGTTAAAAATGGAATTGATGATACTGGTATCATGCTTGATTCATTGTCTTTAGATTTAGATAGAGAAGAGAATGATGCTTGGAGCCTCGACGCTTATAAAAAGCTTCGGCAAGATGCGGATAGGCGGGATTCTAGACTAGAAGCTTTGGGGTTTGAGATTGTGTTCAATGAGAAAAAGATGTCGCATATACGCCAGTCTCGTCCAAAGCCTGTTGAAAAGCCTAAAAAGGTGATGCTGTTAACACGCTTGGCTCTTGAATTGGATTTGATTAATGCGGTTGCTCGATTGATTCTTAAATGGTATATAGACTGAGTATAGTACTTGGTTCTTGCTTTGAGAAGGATCAATACAATGCTTGTTTGCCTCATTGGCCATTAAGCTAAAGTTCTTGCTTATAGCCATACAGTCGAAGTTCTTCTATTTATGAGTACATTGCAGTCTTAGTTTTGAGATCCTTAGTGTGTTTCTTTCTTTGTTATTAAGAAGACTACTCATGTTTTTATTGGTGTTGACATTGCTGTTTTTTTGTCTGTTGTGTTATTGATCTAATGAAGGTGCCTCATGAACCTTTTATACCTCTCACTGAGGAAGAAGAGGCTGAAGTTTACCGTGCCTTTTCTGGGAGAAATAGGTATGTTTTTGTAAGAGGCTCTCTATCATGTTGAGTGCTTCATGAATCTAACCAACTGTGTCCCACTTCTCAGAAGAAAGGTCTTGGCTACTCATGAAAATTCAAACATTGATATTACCGGAGAAGTTCTACAATGCCTTACACCATCTTCATGGCTAAACGACGAGGTACTACTTGTTCCTCATAATATTGTGCACTAGTTAGCGCTTTTAAATTATATCTTTTTTTTTGCTCACCTGTGTTCGGTTTTGTAGGTTATCAATGTCTATCTTGAACTACTCAAGGAAAGAGAAACTAGAGAGCCTAAAAAGTATTTGAAGTGTCATTTCTTCAATACCTTTTTCTACAAAAAGGTTTGCTTCGTTTCTGTGCTCACATTATTTTTATGAAAAATAGTTGATCTTGTCTGCCTCGTGTCAGTTCTTTTGTTGGGCTGGTACTTGCTTCCATAAATATGATAAGCACTATGATTAAGAGAATTTAAGATAATCAATTTATTTTGAAATTAGTTTCTCTCCCCTCCCATGGTAGTCGATAGCCTCTGGCTAATCTGTCCCATGAATAGCTGTCAGTACCCAAGACAAGCTGTAGCCTTTTATATGCTGAACAATCCTCGTATTCTTACTTCTTTGTTTTTCCTCTAATCGTTTTTTATTCAGCTGGTAAGCGACTCTGGTTATAATTACAAAGCTGTCAGGAGATGGACTACGCAGAGAAAGTTGGGATATGCTCTTATAGACTGTGACATGGTAAGTTTTTCGATGAACCTGAATTTTAGATTCTCTTTGTTCCTTTTACAAATGTAGTCCAATTTATTTACATTTACACCAGTCTTTTCCCTCTGCAGATATTTGTTCCGATCCACAGAGGTGTACATTGGACCTTGGCAGTTATTAACAACAGGGATTGCAAGTTCGTGTATCTAGATTCACTAAATGGAGATGATCATATGATTTTGAATGCTTTGGTATAATCTAACTTTCAGCTCTTATTCTCTTAATTTAGTCTCTTAATTGTGCGGTATTGGAGTCATTAAAAAGATCTTAGATGCGTTGGACCTTGTGAACATACTATGCTTTATCATTCTGAATATAGCTTAGCGATCATACTCATCCATTCTGAATATAAATGGATGGTTCGGAAGTGAATGCCTGTCATAGTAGATGTTAGTTTGTCTTTGTCATTATATCTTGATTCTTAAAAATTTATCGGTGGGCATTTTGGAGATTCCAGAGGCTGTTACTACTTTTTAAATTGGACACTGCTCTGAAAATATTTTAACCGTGCCTAACAGTCGTTATAATAACTAATGTGTGAACTGATATGTGTTTCAGGCAAAATACTTAGGCGATGAAGTGAAAGAAAAAAGTGGAAAAAACATTGATGTTAGTTCGTGGGAGAAGATATGTGTTGAAGACCTTCCCCAACAACAGAATGGGTACGCAACTATTCTTGAACTTGCTATGTTTATGATTATGCGAGAAGAACTATATTGTTAGAAAACACTATAGAATCAGCTAACTGTCTTCTCATGTGGAATATGGGTTTTTTAGTTAACAGGTAGATTTTGTTTGAGATTGATAAAAGACAACATTACTTGATATAAATTTTGGTTAGGGAAGCAACAAACTTAACCGTTCATCGGGGAACTAATGATTTTAATAGTTTCCTACTGGGCTGTTGCCGAAATATCATTTTCTTCAGTCAAGATTGTGTGACGTCAAATTACAAGCATATTCTATGTCTTAGTTTCTTCTGGGAATCTAATCGCTAAAAGCGGAACTAACAGCTAAAACCTTACCAACTAAACAAAATCTAGATGGTGGGATCTATCAAAAGCTTATGTGCTTACGGTCTTAGCTATCTGTTTAACCCTCTCAGCTAACTCTTATCTTTGTTGCAATTTTTATATTCTCAGGTATGACTGTGGAATGTTTATGCTTAAATACATTGACTTTTTCAGTAGAGGCCTGGGGCTATGTTTCAGCCAGGTAAGCTATCAGAATCCAGATCCCTAAATGCGTCAAGAAATTATACTGGAGAGTGTAAATTTGGAATCAATATGAAATTAGTACATCTCTTACGCAATTAATATCCTTAGCGTGTTGTAGGACTGATGTAAAACATGTTGTGTTTTGTATTACTTTGGTGTAGGATCACATGCCATACTTCCGACTAAGAACGGCTAAGGAGATTCTGAGACTACGAGCTGACTAAAAAACGTATTATTTTTTGTTGGTTTCGGGAATGCTATATCTGTGTCCCGTTGTTGATTTGTTGAAACTTTTAAATTATACTCCTTTTAGGCAGTGAAGTACTCAACAACTACAAAAGGCAGAGAGATAAAAACTGAGCCAAGCCTAAAGTGTTTTTAAGCTCTTTTCTTTTTGTGTCCTCTCTTGTATTTTATTTAGTGGTATTAAATTGTAGATGAAGCATGTGGAACCTCTAATGTTTATTTTATTTTATTATTATCGGTTGATTAGTCTAACAGAAGATATATGAATGCATTCAAGTTGTTTGGTCTAAACTGGTCCACTTTTTCTCCAGTCAGATCGCTAAAACCGCAATTTGGAAAAAAATGTGTATAGTCCGGATTATTTTGTATTGATGCAAGGATTTAGCTACCAGCAAGTATGTCGAACGAAATGATCGTGATTTCCTGCACTGCGGGCTTGCCCTCGAACTGGAATTGGTGCTAAGAGCATCCTTAATGGTGACACCATTAAGGGTTCTTAACTCATTTTTTAGTATTAAATTTAATATTAGTTTAGTGTTTGAAACTCAATTAATTTTTGCTAATATCTGTATGTCCAATGGTGAGACTTAGAAAGGTTCTAAAAACAAAAAGATCAACACTAGGGAATTTTTTTCTTTCAAGTCATTTGGTTCTTGAAATACTTACATGAGAGAGCAGCTACAAATTCTAGTGTTAAACGAAAGAGAGACAAAAGCTTAACTAATAAACTCAAACTACTTCTTAAGCCACGGAATGGTTAAAACATGTKACCATTTTTAGGTCTAAARGAGGACTGTTTTTGTTAGTCTATRGAGATTATAGTTGATGCAATTACTGGGATCTTTTGGTTTCCACTTGCAAGCTTTCTTCATTCTTTTTGCAGCTTGAACGAATCCTACAATCACCTGAACCAGAGATAATATGAGTGTGTTTGCAGCTTGAACGAATCCTACAATCATCCATTTGCTGTGAACCAGAGACAACACAAGTTCATATACATATGTGTTAGCTTCTTTGCCCTTTTGAAGAACATGTAATGTTACCTGAGACATGAAGTGTCTTTGAACAATGTTAATTAGTTGCTCCTTTGATGGATTAGGAAAAGCATCCACCTTACAAAATAAGAGATCGATCACAGTGTTATCAAAAACAAAAATTCTCTTCCACAATTAGCAAGAGTAGTAAAAGACTCGTCCCAATAAAGAACTGTCAAGGTTAAACTGTCACCAATATCGCACTAATGCAGGCATATCCAGTTTGCTAAGATCAACATTCTGCATTAAAACCATACTTTTCCTCATCAACAACTAAAAAAACATTCTTCCTCACTGCTTAAAACATTGAAAATGAGTAGTCCTGAGGCATACCATGTTCCCACGAGGAGTTAAACTCGAGGGTTTTGAATGTGAGTCACAAGATAAGGCCCTGCACATTGTTTTATGAGATAAACGTGCTGATTTTGTCCTCTTTGATTCGGCTTATGAGGTTTCAGAGTTTCTTCAAATGCTGCAAGATACAAACAAAAGAACATGTCTTTAACACTAGTCAACATTGGAGAGTTACAGAAAAACCTAGCACCAAGACACATTAAACAACAGATTAATCTACATGTTCAATGTTCTATGAAATCAAATCAAATTACGAGTAAACCTAATAAGGATTCGATTCCAGAAACACGGCAAAGTAACAAACCAAAAGAGAAACAAAAGGATTAGCCAATTACAGAAGGATTAGCCAATACACAAATCAAAGAAGGAGCAACCACATATAGCAATCACAGAAAGGATAAACACGAGTACCTGAACCTCTTGGGAAGTAGATCTATTTGACTGAATCGACATGCAGTAGCTACAAGGAGAGATCACGACGACCAAGAGAGATGAATCGCCGTTTGTGGTTCGATTTGCCAGAGGGTGAATCGCGAGAGACGGTGAGAGAGAGACGACGAAATCGAAATCGGAAGAGGAGAAGCTCCGACGACAACAGCCTCTACGACATCCCAATCGCAATCTCAATCGCCATCCGAGGAGGAGAAGAGAGAGAGAGACGACGGTATTGCCATCGGAAGGGAGAAGCTGCRACGACGATA